ATTTCTCTTTAGCTTGGGAATGTATCTGATCTTGTTCAGAGTCAGTACATTTCCATTTTCTAGTCTTAAATCAACTTTGCCAACTCCTTTGATTTTACAAGTAACATCATTTCCCAATATTACTTGACCTTCATTAATTTCAGAAAAATCAGTAAAGTATTCCTTACAGGGTGTCATGTGGAATGTACACCTCGAGTCAAGAATTCATTCATCCTTGATTAAAGATTGACAAGCCACATAGACTTGTCCATTTAAGCCTCCAGCTTCTTCATAAGCAATATTAGCTCCACCTTCAATTTTATTGATGTTTTTCAGTTCATCAATCCTTTTAACACAATCTTTGATGAAGTGACCCATTTTTTCCACAAATGTAGCATTTATTTCCTTTAGCCTTATTATTGTTATAATTAAACCTGGTCTTACCTTTATGAAAGTTTCCATTGTATTCTTTTGGTTTTCTAAGATTTTTATTTGGAAAGTTATTGTTGTTCTTTTTGAATTGATTATGTCTTCTGACATTATAACCAAAACCTACAGAGGAGGATTTAGTTTCACTTTGAAACTCTAGTTCTTTATTTCTTAAAGAAGCAACAATAACTTCCACAGTAATGGAAGTTCTTTCATATTCAAGAGCATTTCTTAAATCTTTATATTTTTCAGGTAAGGAAGATAATAAGGCTACTGCCTGTTGTTCACTAGAGAGTGTTCCACTGCTATTTGTGAAAACTTGAGTTAATTTGTTAAATTTGTCTAGATTTGCTTCAAGATCAAGATGTGGGTCAAACTTGAAGTTGAAGAATTGTTTCCAAAGATAACATTTATTTGGAAGTGATTTTGTTTTATAGAGGGATTCAAGTTTTGTCCATATTTCTTCAGTAGTCTCAGTCTTTCCTACTTCTCTAATGACACTATCAGACAGTGTAAGAAAATCAGACTCCATGTAGTGTCAATTTGTTCGCTTCTTTTTCTTTCTATGATTTCTTCTTCCCAAGACTCATCAAGTGCTTTTACACATTTATGTTGCATCAGAAGTGCCTTCATTTTTTTACTCCAAAGTGTAAAGTCCCCTTTTCCATTCCAAATTTCTATATCAACTTTCGTACTTGTCATTATTTTAAAAGAATTTTAACAATCTTTTGGCCAAAGCAGGTTGAGATATGCAGTGTGAGAAAAGAAATTTATATGCACAAATGTATACACAAAGTTTCAGTGTGCAGATGATTCTCACACAAATGCACAGAATATACAACACAGTGAGCAGGTAAATCAGATAACCAATAAATCATAAACAGTTATTTCCAGCAGACAAATTTCACATTTAATCTTGAAGAAGCCATTAAACCCAGTCCCCTCAGATTCGAGGGTTCTAGTATGAAACCCTAGACAAAGGTAGATCCAGGTGGGCCTCAACCAAGAACAATAGAGTTATCTGAAGAATCGAAAAAATTAGGTTTAGGGTTAAAAAACTTGTTATTAGACTCGTCTCAGGCCAATAGTGTAAAATAGTGAATACCAAGACTATTTTATTTTTCAGCAGAAAGCAGTGAGTCGAACACTTACAGGAGTAGTACCACAAAGATATAAGTCTTTGATCGTCAAGAAGAGCAACAGAAGCCAACCGAATTATGTATCAGATTAACGATGCTCTGATACCACTGTTGGTATTAACAGTCCCAATAATCCAAAGAAAATACAGAAATATAAAAGAACACGGCCCGGATGTTCACCCAAAAGGGCTACGTCACCGCGTTGAGCTTCCACCGAAGTGGTTAACGCTCTAATCCACTAGAAACCAGCAATAGAGTATCAGTACAAGGTTTACAAACTACATATCTAAAAAGATTAGCCCTCAGACCCTATTTTTCCCTCACAGATTGAACAAACGGATTACACCAAGTAATCGACCCTCACTGTTCAACCAAGAATAGATACAATCTCAACACCAAGTACATGAATTAGATCTCACTAAGAACATCTAATGATTCAGAGATTAAACCCAAAAACTAGAGGCTTTTTGAAAGAAAAATTACAGAGAGCAAAATGAAAAACTAAACCCTAGAAGCCTCTCGAAAAAATGAATGGTAAGTGAAAAGTCTAGGGCCAAGTATAGTGGAACGTCATTTGCATCCAACGGTTCAGCCGACTCCACCTGGCACCATTTCGTCCATCCAATTAAAACAAACTAGAATCGCATTTTGAGGAAACACGCCTTTGCACAAGTGGGGGCAAAAATCGGGTCAAAAAACTTGGGCTCAAGTGTTGGGTTCCATCATTAG